TAAGCAAGTAAATAAGCAAGTATACAAGCAAGTGTATAAGCAATTATAAAAGCAGGTATATAAGCAAGTGTATAAGGAAGTATATAAGTAAGTATATAAGCAAGTAAATAAGCAAGTACATAAGCAAGTATATAAGCAAGTATATAAGCAAGTATATAAGAAAGTATATAAGCAAGTATAAAAGCAAGTATAAAAGCAAGTATATAAGCAAGTATATAGGCAAGTATATAAGCAAGTAAATAAGCAAGTATATAAGAAGGTATATTACCAAGTATATAAGCAAGTAAATAAGCAAGTACATAAGCAAGTATATAGTCAAGTATATAAGAAAGTATATAAGCAAGTAAATAAGCAAGTATAAAAGCAAGTATAAAAGCAAGTATATAAGCAGGTGTATAAGCAAGTATATAAGCAAGTTAATAAGCAAGTATTTAAGCAAGTATAAAAGCAAGTATATACGTTTTTTGCCTTTTTTTTTTTAGCAGGTATGCAAGCAAGTATACAAGCAAGTGTATAAGCAAATATAAAAGCAAGTATATAAGCAAGTGAATAAGGAAGTTTATAAGTAAGTATATAAGCAAGTAAATAAGCAAGTACATAAGCAAGTATATAAGCAAGTATATAAGAAAGTATATAAGCAAGTATAAAAGCAAGTATACAAGCAAGTATATAAGCTATTATAAAAACAAGTATATAAGCAAGTATATAAGAAAGTATATAAGCAAGTATATAAGCAAGTAAATAAGCAAGTACATAAGCAAGTATATAGTCAAGTATATAAGAAATTATATAAGCAAGTATATAAGCAAGTATATAAGCAAGTATATAAGCAAGTATATAAGCAGGTATATTCTTAAGTATATAAGCAAGTAAATAAGCAAGTATATAAGCAAGTAAATAGGCAAGTATACAAGCAAGTATATAAGCTATTATAAAAGCAAGTATATAGGCAAGTATATAAGCAAGTATATAAGTAAGTAGATAAGATATAAGTATTATAATAGCAAGTGTATAAGCAGGTATATATTTAAGTATATAAGCAAGTATATAAGCAAGTAAATAAGCAAGTACATAAGCAAGTATAAAAGCAAGTATGTATATAAGCAGGTATGCAAGCAAGTATATAAACAAGTTTCTAAGCAGGTATATATTTAAGTATATAAGCAAGTAAATAAGCAAGTATATAATCAAGTAAATAAGCAAGTATACAAGCAAGTATATAAGCTATTATAAAAGCAAGTATATAAGCAAGTATATAAGAAAGTATATAAGCAAGTATATAAGCAAGTATATAAGAAAGTATATAAGCAAGTATATAAGCAAGTAAATAAGCAAGTATATAAGCAAGTATAAAAGCAAGTATATAAGCAAGTATATAAGAAAGTATATAAACAAGTATATAAGCAGGTATATATTTAAGTATATAAGCAAGTAAATAAGCAAGTATATAAGCAAGTAAATATGCAAGTATAAAAGCAAGTATATAAGTTATTATAAAAGCATGTATATAAGCAAGTATATAAGCAAGTACATAAGCAAGTATATAAGCAAGTATATAAGAAAGTATATAAGCAAGTATATAAGCAAGTAAATAAGCAAGTACATAAGCAAGTATATAAGCAAGTATATAAGCAAGTATACAAGAAAGTATATAAACAAGTATATAAGCAGGTATATATTTAAGTATATAAGCAAGCGTATAAGTATATAAGCAAGTAAAAAGCAAGTATACAAGCATGTATATAAGCTAGTATTAAAGCAAGTATATAAGCAAGTATTAAGAAAGTATATAAGTAAGTATATAAGATAGTAAATAAGCAAGTACATAAGCAAGTATATAAGAAAGTATATAATCAAGTATATAAGCAAGTAAATAAGCAAGTACATAAGCAAGTTTATGGTCAAGTATGTAAGCAAGTATATAAACAAGTTTATAAGCAGGTATATATTTAAGTATATAAGAAATTATTTATACAAGTATATAAGCAAGTAAATAAGCAAGTAAATAAGCAAGTATACAAGCAAGTATATAAGCTAGTATAAAAGCAAGTATATAAGCAAATATTTAAGCAAGTATATAAGCAAGTAAATAAGCAAGTATATAAGCATGTATATAAGCAAGTCAATAAGCAAGTATATAAACAAGTATATAAGCAAGTATATAAGCAAGTTTATAAACAAGTATATAAGCAAGTATATAAGCAAGTAAATAAGCAAGTATACAAGCAAGTATATAAGCTATTATAAAAGCAAATTAATAAGCAAGTATATAAGCTAGTATATAACCAAGTATATAACCAAGTATATAAGCTAGTAAATAAGCAAGTTTATAAGCAGGTATATAAGCAAGTAAATAAGCAAGTACATTAGCAAGTATGCAAGTATATAAAACTCCATAACGAGTAGAAAAATCCTTTATAGCTGCTAAGTTGCCATTCAGGTTTTTTATCCCATTATGGATATCCCCAATCTCAGATTGTACATAAAGCGCTGCTCAGTCGATGATGGAGGTAATAAAGTTTATAAAAATTGAAAACATTATAGCAGAAAGAATACCGCCTTGCGGCACACCAGCATCCACTTCAGCCCAAGTTGAGGACAGTTGCCCCACACTAACTGACTGCTGTCGACCGCGAAGATAAGATGCAAACCAATCCAATTCAGTAGGGCCAAAATTCGGATGAGACAGTATGGAAAGAAGGATTTCATGATCAACTGTGTTGAAAGCATTTGAGAAATCAACTAGTACCAGTACTGTTATTTTTTTTCTTCCATGCCTTGTTTAATATTATCAACAACATTAATTAATGCAGTAGTGGTACTATGACCAGGACGAAACCCAGACTGATATATACTCAGTAGGTTATGTTTCGAAATAAAAGTAGAAATTTGCTTGTAACCACAGGATTCTAAAATTTTGGAAAGAAAGGGTAGAATGGATATTGGACAAAAATGATTGGGAAGAATGGGAGTAGGAACTTTTGGGAGAGGCTTTACAAAAGCCCTCTTCCAAAGAGAGGGATACTGACCTGAACCAAGGAAAAAATTGATTATATGGGAAATTGCCGGGAGAAGGTGCTCTAGTATAAATACTACCATATGTCTACTAATCTCGTCGTAACCCACGGCCATGGACTGGATTGCTAAACTCGACTTTTTGATATAATCCTGAGAAACAGGAGAAAAATTAAAGGAATGTTAGGAATTTGCAGAGAAGCAATGGAAGCCATAGTTTGGGAATGAATTGTAGGGTCCAGTGCTTTTACAGAAGCGAAATGTTGGTTGATTTCATCAAGTGACACAGAAGGACCACAATCTATCAATATTTTACGCCGTAATTGTGCATTACAATTAAAATAATGACGAAATGAGCTTCAAATTATGCGTTTTAAGCACTTAAGTTTTTTTCTATGACTGATGATGATTATGGAGCTATTGATTGTATTACTAAGGACTTTAGTGAGAAAACGGTGCATAAATAAAAACCTAAATATGACCCTCCGTAGAGAATATATTTTATGAATGAAATGAATTATTATTAATAAAGAGTTACAGCCTTTATTTTTAATTTGTTTTAAAGTGGTTGTTTGGTAGAAGAAGAACTAGGGCGGCGCAAAGGTTTAAAGAGGATTGTTTAGATATCTCAAGTATGATCTAAAGCATCCCACTGCTGGGCAGAAGTCTCGTATCATGCCTGAGAGGTTTATTGGCGGGTTTCACACATAAAGGAAATATGAATATAATAAATGTACAATTTTATAAGAATTTAAAATAAGATAAAAGAGCTAACGTAATTTTAATAAGATATAACTTAACACAACATAAACACTCACGCCCTTCACTCAGAGGGGTGGGCAGACTACAGACTTCCATTTGGCACGATCCTGACACATCTCTCCCGCCTCCTCCACATCATTATACCCACACATACATGCTCATCGGTTAAGGGTACCCTTAATTTGGCCCATTTTCAATATATCGCCAATTTCGGTATTCTTTCGCCTAGAACATCCCTTTCCAACTCTGCCGCTCACTTCTGAAACATAAATTTGCTTTGTCACTTGTTCCTCATTCATTTTTTGTATATGACCATACCACAGAAGCATTCCTTTCTTAACCCTGGTCACATCATCTTGCAAACCACACTCTTATCACACAATTTCTCACCCTCTCACTCAGATTCAGCCCTAACATACTCCTTAATGACTGCATTTCTACTGCGTTTATTCTACTTTCGTGCTTCTTCTGCCACACCCAACTTCCGCTACCATATGTTAAAGTAGGTACTAACACAGCACAGAATTACAAAAACAATTTTTTAATAAGGATTTGTTTATAAAATTCTGATAAAAATTTAATTAATTATTTAATATAATACAAACATATTTTTATCAACCTATCACCATTAGTATATATTCTTACCTACGTACTAAATCTACATTAAATCTATTTTTCATATTTGAAATTTGATAATATAGCTTAACATATTATGTAATCAAAAACATATTGATTATATGTACAATTTTATAAGAATATTAAATTTTATATGATCGTCCTGAATCAAACAATCCTGAATTAAAGAAAACGTCCTGATCTGATTTAGTTAATTTATTTATATTTTTTATATAAAATTAACTGGTAGTTAAGTTTTTTTAACAATAAATTAACTAAATCAGATCAGGACCTTGCAATGGTTTTTGAGAAATATTTTACTGATATTCCGATCTTAACCACTAAGTCACTGAACTCTTCTCCTGCCGTCGCCGAATCATTAATAAAATTAATAATGGCGTAGGGAATTGACGACCCCATCGCTCGCTGACGTAACAGTTAAGTGACAAAACTGCAACGTCAACGCAGTCAGTCAGCGCCTTGCGAGAGGTGTGAGCGCCGTGCCTCGGCAGAATTTAGGGTGCAAAGACCCGTTTGTGCTTATGGCCACGCACGATACGGTGCCGGGCCTGGGCGTCTCCCGTTAATGGACGCCCAAATAATGGATGATGGATAAAAAGATAATGCGTAAAGGGCCGCTGCCTGGGGGTCGCCGGGGCGCGTCTGGTGCTGGCGCTGGACGCGGCAGCATGCGGGCCGCCAGCCGAGTGCGAGGAGCTGCACGGTCACCTAGCAGCCCTCCGCATCCATCATCCCCACCAGAAGGCTTGGTGTCGGCTGGGTCTTCTCGGACTCAGCAAGCGGCACCCGCCGCTGGTGGAGCACGTCGCATGCGTTGGTCACAAGCAATGAACGCAAACACACTGCGGGCGTACTTTAGGGCAAAAGGGAAAGAAACTGGATGTTTGGCGTATCGGGCTAGGATGCATCGTCTTTTTGCTGAGCTGGAGCCATCTTTAACCGTCACAGAGCAAAACCTGGCAGACCGAGTTCGGTATATCTTGCGCTCAAATATATTTGATGTCGCCGAACTCGAACGGCTACGACGTGAGGCTGTTCCCTCATCGGATGAAAATGCTACGGCTGAGGATGCGGCGCCACAAATTGTAGAGCAACCCGCAAACGTGGATGCCGCCGTGAATACCCCAGTTGTGGTTGATTCAAACGATGATGGAACAGTCGCCCGTGCATGTGGGTGTATGTGTGTTCGTGTGAACGCATGTGTGCGTGCGCGTGTGTGTGAGTGTATGTGTACGTATGTGCACTGTTGTGTTTTTTTAGTGCATGTGTGTGTGTGTTAGTATGTGTGCGTGCGGGTGTTAACTGTTGTTCGTGTGTGTGTGTGTGTGTGTGTGTGTGTGTGTGTGTGTGTGTGTGTGTGTGTGTGTGTGTAAGGGTGGGGGTGCGATTTAGTTCGCGTGCGTGTGTGTATTTGTGTGTGTGTGTGTGTGTGTGTGTTTATGCGAGTTTGTGTGTGCGCGTGCATGTGGGTGTATGTGTGTTCGTGTGAACGCATGTGTGCGTGCGCGTGTGTGTGAGTGTATGTGTGCGTGTGTGCACTGTTGTGTTTTTTTAGTGCGCGTGTGTGTGTGTGTTAGTATGTGTGCATGCGGGTGTTAACTGTTGTTCGTGTGTGTGTGTGTGTGTGTGTGTGTGTGTGTGTGTGTGTGTGTGTGTGTGTATGTGTGTGCGGTTGTGCGTTTGTTTGATTTCGCGTGTGGGTACGAGTGTGTGATTGTGCGCGTGCGTGTGTCCACTGTTGTTTTTTGTTTATGTATGTGCTTGTGCGTGTATGTGTGTTAGTTTGTGCGCGCGCGTGTGTGTGAGTGTATGTGCGGGTGTGTGTGTGTGTGTGTGTGTGTGTGTGTGTGTTATGTGTGTGTGTTTGTGTCTGTGTTTGTGTGTGTGTGTGGTGTGTGTGTGTGTGTGTGTGTAGGTGTGCGTGTGTGTGTCTGTATTTATGTGAGTGCGCGAGAGCGCGCGTGTGTGTATGTGAGTGCGTGTGCGTGCGTGCGGGTGTGTGTGCGTGCGTGTGTGTTCGTCTGAGTGCGTGTTTGTGCGTGTGTGTGGGTGTGTGTGTGTGTGTGTGTGTGTGTGTGTGTGTGCGTGTGTGTGCGCGCCCAGAAAACGGAGGCGGAGAATGGAAACGTGGAGGTGGAGGTGAATGCAGCGTAGTATGTGGTGAAGTCGGAGTAGAGGAATTTGTAGTGAAGTCGGAGATAGTGGAAACGGGGAATTGTGTTGGAGGCGGAAAGAATAGTGACGGCGAGTGGTGGTGGCGGCGGAGGGAGCGGAGTTTATTGTTGAGGAGGATGGAGCAGAGTTTATGGTGGAGCCGGAGGTAGCGGAGGTGGAGAACGAAGGCTTAGAGAGGGGTGTGGTGGTAGATGTGGAGGCGTAGGTGGCAGAGGTGGTGGTGGGTGCACTGGAGTGCAGTAAAGTGGGTACCGCGTGAGGGCAAGAAAACTCATATAAAGGACAGTTGGTTACAGCGAAAAACAGTGTGGCTGGTAAGCGGATATCGATACTGCCCCTAAAGAAGTTACTACGAGGTTATTCATTTTTCCGAATATCAGCTTGGATACCTATTGGTACTAGAGACAAAGTGAAAAGAACTTTTGTTTTGTGACGGTTTCATCATAACTAACAAAACCAACCCAAACTCGGCATACTTAGTTTTACTAGTCCAGGTGTTACAGAATTAGTTACCGAAGTACACCTTCAGGTCACTTCAGCAATTCCGGAAGTAAGGACTCATCATAACTAACAAAACGAGCCCAAACTCAGCACACACAGTTCTACTAGTCCAAGAGTTCCACTAGTAATCCCGAATTACATTTTGAGGTCACTCCATCAAGACCGGAGGTAAGGTCTCATGATAATATCTCATGTAATAGTTCGATTCTATACCTATCAATTTTGTAAACGCGTCCTTAAAAATCTTGATTATGAAGATGAAGAAAACATGTTAACTGGTTTATGGTAAACACACAAACACACACACACAAACACGCAAGCGCGCGCGCAAACATACGCACACATGCGTCATGTTTGCGTGCGTGTGTGTGTCTGTGTATGTTGTGTGTGTGTGTGTGTGTTTGTGTGCATATGTGTTCGTATGTGTACGTGTGTGTGTGTGTTTGTGTGCATATGTGTGCGTGTGCGTATGTGTTCGCGCGTGTGTGTATGTGTGTGTGTGTGTGTGTGAATGGGCTGTTGCGCGCGCTTGCGTGTTTGTGTGTGTGTGTGTGTGTTTACCATAAACCAGTTAACATGTTTTCTACATCTTCATAATCAAGATTTTTAAGGACGCGTTTACAAAATTGATAGGTATAGAATCGAACTATTACATGAGATATTATCATGAGACCTTACCTCCGGTTTTGATGGAGTGACCTCAAAATGTAATTCGGGATTACTAGTGAAACTCTTGGACTAGTAGAACTGGGTGTGCTGAGTTTGGGCTCTTTTTGTTAGTTATGATGAGTCCTTACCTCCGGACTTGCTGAAGTGACCTGAATGTGTACTTCGGTAACTAACACTGTAATACCTGGACTAGTAGAACTTGGTACGCCGAGTTTGGGTTTGTTTTGTTAGTATTGATGAAACGGTCACAAAACAAAAGTTCGGAAAAATGAATAACCTCGTAGTAACATCTTTAGGGGCAGTATCGATATCCACTTACCAGCCACACAGTTTTTCGCTGTAACCAACTTTCCTTTATATGAGCCTCACTTGCCCTCACGCGGTACCCACTTTACTGCACTCCAGTGCACCCACCACCACCTCCGCCACCTACGCCTCCACATCTAACACCGCACCCCTCTCTAAGCCTTCGTTCTCCACTTCCGCTACCTCCGCCTCCACCATAAACTCTGCTCCATCCGCCTCAACAATAAACTCCGCTCCCTCCGCCGCCACCACCACGCGCCGTCACTATTCTTTCCGCCTCCAACACAATTCCCCGTGTCCACTATCTCCGACTTCACACCAAATTCCTCTCCTCCGCCTTCACCCCATACTACGCTGCATTCACCTCCGCCTCCACGTCTCCACTCTCTGCCTCCGTTTTCTGGGCGCGCCCACACACGCACACACACACACACACACACAACACGCACTCAGTCGAACACACACGCGCTCTCGCGCTCTCATATAAATACAGACACACACGCACACCTACACACACACACACACACACACACACACCGTGCAAACACACACACACACACAAACACAAACACAGACCACAAACACACGCGCGCGCACACATACATACACGCTCGCACGCGCACACATACACATACGCGCGCGCGCTCGCACACACACACACACACACACACACACACACACAAACCCGCACATACGCTCACACACACGCACGCGCACGAACGAACACACATACACGCACAAGCACATACACAAACACAAAAAAACAGTGGACACACGCGCGCACACACGCACACACTCGCACCCACACACAAAAGCAAACACGCACAACAGCGCACACACACACACACACCCCCGCGCGCGCGCGCGCACATATACTTACACACGCACACACACGTACTAAAAATACACAAAAATGCACACACGCGCACGCACATGCGTTCACACGAACACACATGAACGCACATACACCCACACACACGCGCACACACAAACTCGCATAACACACACACACACACACACACACACACACACACACACACACTCGAGTGACAAATAAATTTGTAATATCTATCCATCATCTTCTAATTGATCTATGACAAATGAATAAAATAACACAAATTCACTCACACGATGAAAAAAAACTCGAACAAACATCTTTCCACAATAAAACCTGCCAAAGTTTGATCCACAAAATCAGCAGATAACGTATTTTCTTACCTTATTACTATAACAAAGTAGCCTACTGGATTCTCTGTCACACACAGAATGCGACGTTGCCGCTTCGTGTTCGAGTACCTATTTGTCAATTATGGCTCCGGATCCACTTAGTCTAAGTAAATGTCGCATATAAATTAAATATACTCTGGATCTAAAAAATCATATTCAGTACGATTTTTTTGACCGTTGATAGATCAACAAATGTTGGTCAAATCGCTGACGAGTATATTGAAATCCTGTTAGTGCAGATCCACCGACGTCACACGCGTATCAAGAATGGATCAAAGTATATCAGTTTGTGCGACGAGGAGCTGAGCAAACACGTCAAATAGGTGGATCAACAATTGTTCTAACATCTCACTGGATCAACATTTACCGTGAAAGGATGATTATATATATATATACATATATATATATATATATATATATATATATATATATATATATATATATTATATCATACTTTTTTTATAGATCTCTATATATATATATATATATTTGATCTTAGCGACATAATAGAAGAAAATGAACTGGATATTTGAATAAAAATCATGAGTGCAATTAGTTTAACTTAAATTGTTAAATTTAATTTTTGTAACGTGTTTTTAAAAAATACTAAAAAAAGGGCTCGAAATAATAGATTTTTTCAAAAAGGAAGGGAACTTGAAAAGAAAATGAAAAAAAAGTCGGTCTGCAGATAAGACTCGAACCAGGGTAATACGATTTTGTGACCACCCAATATACCAATTAGGCTATTTATAGTAATTAATAAACTGTCAAAATTTACCTTATTATTCTAACGATATTGTAGCAGTTTTATATTGCCTGAAAACATGGATACAACGACATTTTCTAAAAATGAATCCTAGCTAGATCGATTTATTGCCCCTGAAACTCCCTGGACACTAAATTTTATGAAAATCGTTGGAGGCGTTTCTGAGATTCCAATTATGTATATATATATATATATATATATATATATATATATATATATATATATATATATATATATATATATATATATAGTACCCGGTTGACCGAGCTTTGCTCGGTATTTTTCGCTCGTTTTTTTTTAATTCGTGTGTTTTGGAAATTGTATTTAGATACAAATTACATACTGATGAAATACGAATAATATTTTTTGATCGTAGCGACATAATAGAAAAAACTGAACTGGTTATTTGAATAAAAAATCATGAGTGCATTTAGTATAATTTAAATTTTCGTGTTTTTAAAAAATAATAAAAGGGCACGAAAAAATAGATTTTTTAAAAAAAAGAAAGGAACTTGAAAAAAAAAATTAAAAAAAAGTCGGTCGGTCGGTTTGGGCTCGAACCATGGTATTACGATTTTGTGACCGCCCAATATGCCAATTAAACTGTCAAAATTTACCTTCTTATTCTAACGATATTGTAGCAGTTTTTCATTGCCTAAAAACACGGACAAAAAGACATTTTCTAAAAATAAATCCTAGCTAGATCGATTTATTGCCCCCGAACCTCCCTACACACAAAATTTTATGAAAATCGTTGGAGCCGTTTCCAAGATTCCGATTATATATATATATATATATATATATATATTTTTTTTTTTTTGTTTTTCACAAGAATTGCTCGTTTAAAGTTATAGGATATACAGGATATATATCCTATAACTATTACTCTAACGATATTGTAGCAGTTTTTCATTGCCTAAAAACACGGACAAAAATACATTTTCTAAAAATAAATCCTAGCTAGATCGATTTATTGCCCCCGAAACTTCCTGCACACAAAATTTTATGAAAATCGTTGGAGCCGTTTCCGAGATTCCGATTATATATATATATACAAGAATTGCTCGTTTAATGTTATAGGATATATTTACGCGACCACTACACATTGATTAAAACTACTTTTACGGATTTTATCACGTTTCATTTGTATTAATTACCGACGTTTCGGGTGCAACGTTTCGTGGACCATGGGTGGACCACGAAACGTTGAGAATTAAAAATAATTCAAATTAAATGCGCTGCGGGACGGCTCCATTAGCATCCGGAACGCGTTGTTATACTATATCCTAAGGGCTTCATAGGCCCGTAGCGTGTATAGCCCTTTACAGGCTGCACGTGTACAAAGCCGTGAAAACGCTCTAAGTAGACTGAGTTTAACCTCCCTTGAACATCCCGCAAACCTGCGAGCAATCATATTTGCTCGAACCGACAGAGTACTTCGTTTCATTTCTATGTCAGTACTATCCTTGAGGTTGGACATAACCATATGATCCAAATATTTAAAAGAGTCTGCCCTAGTTAATGGTGTACCATATATTAAAATGTGGTTGTAGTACGAATGGAGCGGCTTGACTGCGGGCTGATGACGCTCTCATAAAATACCTGCGTAAATAGCTGCTTAATGCTGCTGTTTCGTATGGTGAGTGTAGAGAACCGGAGACCCGCTTTACTGGAAATAAGGCTTTCCATCTCAGTCATCAGGGTTGACAACGCATCTGCATTTGGATCTTAGTTGAGAATAAAGGTAAATGTCTATGGGCTACAGCATCCAATTATCATCAATTGGGCTGTGTGCTCGTTTGTCACACTTAATCTATAAAAATAGTATGTATGTCTTTACTCCTCTGGTTGCCTGGAAGAGATTGCTATACAGCGATAAGTCCCGCTAAATTATATTCTTAAATTGCTTTTCAATGTTTTCTGTACATTTCATTTTGTAGTGTAAATGCAATACAGTAAAAATATATTTATTCACTCATACATAATATTAGATACAAAGTATATATTACTTAACACTAAATAGTCTTCACCCATTATTTTCCTTGCTTTATCATGGCATATCTCGTACCGCGCGTATCCCATTAATCTGGGAGCAACAGTTTTAGTAGCAATTCATTCATTGCCCTACTCCAGTGTGGACAGTATGGAGTACTTGCATATTATTGCAAGCTGTTTGCAGGCGTTCAAAGGCTGCAGTAGTTATTTACCTTCGAGTAAATTCTTGGCTTTTTTGTCACTGTAGGTTATATTAAACCGAGTTGGCCTACTTAGATGTGAAACAGAATACAACTGGAGTAATGCTCATAAAGTTTTTGTAACTGTTACAAAAGGTATAAATATATGTACAGGTATAATAAAGGTATAAATGTTATAAATATATATAGTTTTATCTTGAGGTGCAATACCTTTAGCTCAGGGGCTAAGCGCTCACTGTAAATATCACAGTAAACGAGTTCGAACCTCGCCGGCACCAATGAAGTTGTTAATTACAAATCCAAATGTAGCTTTATCTTGAGCTGAAATACCTTTAGCTCAGGGGCTAAGCGCTCACTGTAAATATCACTGTAAACGGGTTCGAACCTCGCCGGCACCAATGAAGTTTTTAATTACAATTCTAAGTGCTAATTAACGACGTGCTCTACGGTGAAGGAAAATAACGTAAGAAACCTTCACGTTTAATAAATTAAAAAAAAATATTACGAAGATGTATGACGTCCACCCATACGCAGTAAGGCAGCGCGGCGGACTTTTTCTATCTCTAAAACTTTCTCAGAAATGAGAGGAAGTCTGTGCCCAGGAGTGGAACTTAGTAGGTCGTACCTTTGAGGAATATTGTAGTGATTTATAAATTCATATCGAAATAACACCGGTCTAAGAGAGTCAAAAATAATCAAATAAAAACAAATACGATTGCCATTTTACCATGCGAGGCTATTATAATGTATATATATATATATCATCATCATCATCATTACAGCATTTCACAAGTCCACTGCTGAACATAGGCTTCCCCCAAGTAATGCCACAAAGCACGGTCCTGAGCCACCTGCATCCATCAACTTGCTGCATATCTTACCAGGTCGTCACTCCATCTAGTGGGGGGTCGCCCTACACTACGCCTACCGGTACGAGGCTGCCACTCGAGAAACTTTCTTCCCCATCGGTTATCGGTTCTTCGAGCTATATGGCCGGCCCATTGCCACTTCAGCTTACTAATCCGTTGGGCTATGTCGGTCACTCTGGTTTTACTGCGGATATCCTCATTTCTGAGTCTACCACGCAGAGAAACTCCGAGCATAGCCCTCTCCATAGCTTGCTGAGCGACCTTGAGTGTCCTCATACGGCCAGCAGTGAAGGACCACGTCTCAGATCCGTAAGTCATCACTGGCAACACGCACTGGTTGTACAATCTAGTTTTTAGAGATTGAGGTATACCTGACGAGAAGATATGTCGTAATTTCTCAACGCTGCCCAGCCGAGTGGAATCCATCGATTGACCTCTCGGTCGAAGTTGTACTTACCTAAAACGTTGTTAACGAGAGACTTGTGGACGATAAATCCAACACCTCCTTGGGACAGATGGATATATATATATATATTATAATGTATATATATAGGTATATTCGATTAAGTTAGCTTCACAAAAATGTTCTGCTATTTCATTGTACGAGTAATTAAAAAATTAAAATTGCTTTAATTAAAAATGTGAACCACAAGTAAAATTATATCATCATATAATCCCTAAAATATATTAACTACTTTTACATTTTTAACTTTTATTATATAATATTGTAAAATATGTTATGAGTGTCAAGGTCTATTCCTTAATTCTCATATACGTACTTGAATACTTTTCGGAAATTATTATTAACATGTTTGCACAAAACCATTTCATACTTAGCTTTCATGAGCATAGAAACGTTTAATCGGTAGCCTTTAGTAGTTATTAGTACTACGCACATTATTACGATTCTCTCGTCTTTCTAGAAATAGACAAGAACATGGTACCTGCTCAGACGTCCTTGAAAGCAGAGAAAGGAGTTCTAACACCTGTTACTCCATAACCTTCTCAGATATTAGACGAGACCTGTACTACGTACTACAATTATTTATTCTGTGCCTGTACCCAGTGTCAGTACGTACATACATATATAGGCAGTATTTTTCATTTTTTGGTTGAAATATTAATTCAATTTTAATATTTAAACAGTTTGAACTAGCAACCAACTCAATTTAGTGCACGTAAAATTGATCAAAATTTACACAGTTTTGAACTGTGTTACATTGTATTAATTATTGACCGCTTGTAACGTTCCTATTTATGTTAATAAAGAAAGGAAGTTAACTTTGTACTTTATCGAATGATCACTAAATAACGTGAAAATATTTATGTATCTTTATCTTTATTATTGAAAGTGTTTCTTTTTTTATTCCTATATTGAAAGAATATTTCATTCTCCGCAACTATTCGTTTTAATGTACACTAGCGGCCCGCCTTTTCTTCACCTGGACAGGACCTATTACTGTGGCTTTATTTAGGTTTTAAAAAATCAATGACCATTTATTGTTACAATTATTTTAATATCTATGTTTTTAGGATAAGATACAGCCTAGATCACTCCTGGTATTACTCGCTATCTATTCGTTTATATATAACCTAATGTGTTTTTGAACTTACGTGGAGACCGTAATAAAAGCGTTTGGCTGTCAAAATACAAAGTTACGTTGAAAAATAAAGCGATACAAATACTCCTACACGTAAGTACATAGAATTGGTGCACACCTGAATGTCCATTCAGGTTCACTGAGCCAGACAAACGATCGTTTTCCATCAGTAGCATAGTAATTAAGTACAAGTTTAAAATAAGCAGAAAAGAAAAGTCAAAAATAACAAATAAAACTGGTTAATAACTTATTAACGGGATTTTCACAGAACAAGCAGTTTCTGTTGTTGTTAAACTTGAAAACAGGTTCCGGTTGTGACCTAAAAATTTTATATTGGAACGCTATAAAAATAGCGCTTTTAAGATTGAAATAAGTTTGAAATTGAACAGCATTAATTCAAGGGAAACTGAAAACTATACTATAGTTACTAGTGACGATTATTGCAGTTTTCATCCATCCTTCTTCTTCAAATAACATTTTACAGTATATACCAATCAAAGCCTTAGATAACCAGCACTGTGTTCAAAGTAAACGCAGCCAGATTATCTGACAGAAACGATGATTAATAACCTCCAACCTACGAGGGTAAACCTAGGGTTAAGTGCTCGTAGCCTCCAACCCACCCTTGTCATAGTATGATAGAGCTCCCTTATTGACTAAAACCCTATTTTTAAGCATAGTTGTGAAGAAATCTACTTAAAATATTTGATGTCATTTTATAGTCAAAGTTTTTTTCCTGCCTAAAGCATGCTCATCCTTTGTCTATCTCAGAATGATATAGAGATAAAGAGAAACAGGACAAAAGAATTAAATATATTATACAGTAGTCAAATTAATAATATTATACATATTGTTGTAGCGGTGTAAAGTCTCGTGTGTGTCGAAATAGGCGACAACTCAAATATAAAAAAATGCAGTAGCTACCCCCTAATGTTACCGCTGTTATTGCTATGGGGAGGCCCATGTTTAGCAGTAAACTTTGATAGGCGTTGAAAAAATGAAATGACTCTACTACCAAATTTGAATATTTTACCAAACTAAAACTGTTTAAAAAGGGTAATTATAATAATAAATGGTTGATAATAACCCCTGGGAATGAGGTGGTCGCTTCCAAGCTGTTTCTAAAATAAATTTTGTAAATACTTTGTACAATATTTTATACCGCAAAACTTACTTTAAAAAAAGTTCGAAAAGTTTCTTGCTGGTTCTTCCCAGGACAGTAGTTTTTGCCGAGCCGGTGGTAATGTAAAAAATGACTTTCAATAAGAATGACATAAATACTCGTATGATCTCTATTGAATAAAAAATTATTCTATACTATTCTCTACACATGTAATAATAGAACTTAATATATATATATATATGTATATCAAATATTTATGATATGCATATATATTACGAATATAATATAATGAAACAAATAACACTGATCGGCAAAAAGAAAATAAAAATCCGGGAGCAAAAAGTTTACTATGTGATTATATTGGCTTTGATTTTTTGAGTCCAAATCTGTTTAAAGATTTCAACTATCACCTCTAGCTTTTCAGATATTTACATTTAAATAAAATATCGGTATATATATATATTATATATATATATATATATATATATTTATATTTAAATATCTATATATTTTAGAACGAAAAAATTTACACTGATTGATGACTTTTACAACACAAATTAAAATGAAATATGAATTAAAAAATATAAAAAAAAACATAAAAATGATAACTATTTGGTAGATCGCTTTCTTTTATACATTTTAACTGCTGTTTCTCGATTTATTTCCCAGCAAAAATCAGCTAGCATTGCTGGGGTCCACTTGCCGCTGTATCTTTTTTCCATATGTGCAATGTCTTGGTGGAATCTTTCACCATGCTCATCAGACACGGCACCAAGATTTTCTGGGAAAAAATCTAAATGCGAATGCAAGAAGTGAATTTTTAAAGACATATTGCATCCAAGTTGATGATACGACGAAAGCAGTTCTTCTATCAGCTCACGTACGTCGCTCACTTGTTCAAAACAATCACTGCGTTCGCGCTTCGCGCATGTCAGTAAGTTAGAGCAGTAAACAATAGCTTGTTGTTTCTTTCTAACATAGAGACAGACTCAGAACACAACTAAATACATGTACATACCAACGTTCACAAATACCGCTGCCTGCAACTATAAGCAAACAATTCTAGTGGAAACAAAAAATGCTATTGCGTCGAAACTAGACGTGCTAGGTGAATTCCAACTACATATTTGGATTTAACGTAACTAACGTAATAACTTCCATATATACATTTTGTTGCTCTTATTTTGATGCCGACCAGTGTCATCAGTGTTTGGGTATGAAAGTCAATACTCGCCGTACGTTTCTCAATAATGCGCGTATAGATCTCAAAAATCTGAGATTTTAACGCCTGTCAAATAATTTTGATTAAAATACGACGTGCACGTAACATTGATAGTTCTTAAAATAGATATAATTTGAACACACTACCCCAGATAGAATATAAATCCTGCCTATATTTACCCTAAATTACGGCAAAATAATATAGTATTTATGCAATGATATGACATTTCATTGAAATAAAAAATCCAGTGGAGGGTTCTATTAACTTCGGCTCCTATTTACTTCATCCCACAAGGTATCTTATTATGACATATTTATTTTATTACTTACACATTCTTTTGTATGGCATTAAAATATTTACAAAATAAAAAAAACACAAAAAACTAAAAACTAAAATTTTAATACTATCAGTCCAACCCGAGGTGGTTGTTACTTAATATATTGTGTTGTGCTTTATAAATGTAACTCTCATAATATGTATACGGGTACTGTTGGTGTACTTTTTTAAATAAGTATTCTCAGCCTTTAAGCGAGAAGACTTTGGGAAGCTTTATCTTATCATTTTACTACTTGATTCGATATTAGAAAAACACCTGTTGAATATCTTTTGAATTTACGAATAAAACCTACACATAAATTAAACAAGTTAAGTATGAGCTGATAATAAATAGCTATGATAATCCTACTAAAAATAATACAATATGATTCAGTAAATATGCATCCACCCATCCATTTCATACGTGCTAAAGCCATGCTGCAGTTATATTAGTAGTCAAAGATGTTTTATAGGTACAGATACCGTGTTGCGAACACATCGCACCGTTCACAGTGACGCCAGTCTTTGATTCATGTGTGCGTGAGTACCACGTGATGCGCATATCTTACGTACCATGCCTGCATTAGTGTGCGTGACTTCGGTAATAATAGTGCAAATCGATTGCCCAAAAATTTGGGAGATTTTATATTTCATTCATATTGACATACCTGAGCGTAAAATATGTGTGCGAGGCGTGTGCATTTGTGTACGTATGTGAATGGGGATATTCACACACAAGGGATATGGGTGGTTATGTGTGTTTTATGTAGGTCTGTACGAAAATCGCACTAAAATAGTGAAGATAAGTAATAAAAATTAGATATATTTAATGTAACAGTTAAAAATAAATCAAAAATCACATTAGATATTTATGTATCTAACATATATTGAACTAATCTATTATTATTAAATATATATAAAGTACTACACTTTCGTACCTTAAAACCCACAATATTGACGCGAAGACATTAATTATTTTTAATCTTAAGTAAAATGACGTACAAAAGTAAGTTTGGTTAAGTGTAAACTTCGGCCAAGAGATAGCAAATGTTTATTTTTTTCAAATTTCATATATCGATACAGTTTCATGATCAATTAAACCCTGCCACTGACAGACGATAAAAGATTGTGTGTTTAAAGGCTACATTTTGTACTGTAAAACCTGTAAATAAATAAAAAAAATATAAAATCAATGTTGATTGTGTATAAGTGCCCTTGACGTGAAAGTGAATTGAACATTATATTATAATTATATAATAAACAATAATATAACATAATTATATAACAAATAATAATATAACATAATTTATTATAATAATATAATTTTTTTTATATATTTATAATGTAACGGTAAAAGAATTTTCAAAATCAGTCAAGTAATTTTTGAGATAAGCCAAATAAAACATATTCATAGAAAGGAGTGCCATCTATAATAAAATACATCCTATATTAGACATCTTTAATTATACATAACATTCTAGTGGTAAAAGAATTTTCAAAATCGGCCAAGAACTGTACAAGTTTAGCTAAAAAACATATTCATTGATGGTAGTGCCCTCTACATCAAAATACATCCTACATTTCACAGTCATAATAGCATTCTAATGGTGAAAGAATTTCTTAAATAGGTCAAGTAGTTTTTGAGCACCATTCCAAAAAGCGATTCAGCTTAGCCAACCGCACACACAGTAAAATCATAACCATCCTTTTTCGTTTGTAGACGGATAAACAACCGGTTCACAACGGTTGCGTATCGGCTGCTTTGGATAAATATCCGTTGTCAACAGTTGCTTTACATCTATTAATGACATTAAAATAGGGAAAAACATTTCATACGGTAGGCAACACTCCCATATTATTGCGCAGTATTATTACTTGTATTGACATTCAGCTTTCGTATTATTTTATCAAGAAATACACCAGAAAATTGTATATTTACTTATGAAAAGTGATGTTCTTATCTTTTTCTTTTTTCCAAGAGTAATTTTTACATGATTTCACAGCACAAACAGTCATTTTCTGAAATTAAAAACACTGGTGCGTGATGTATGTTCGCAGTGAACGTCACTGGCATAATGGTGGAACGATCGAACGAATACGCCAATATTGGCGCCTTTTAAATGGAAGCGTTTTAGGCGCGCGTACACGGTATCTGTACCTATAAAACATCTTTGTTAGTAGTGTAGTTGTAGCACGAACGGGTCGCCAATACAAGCGTAAATAGTAGCTTAAGGCGCTGCCTCCAGCGAACGACCTTGAGCGTTTGGTCTGGCGACGCTCGCTACAATATATCGCGTAAGAAATCGCCAAAAGACGCCACCTACTGCTACGAACGTAGTATTATTTTTTCAATGTCAATGAACTCTTCTATGGAAATAGACACGGCGTACAATGATAAATGTATTTTAATTTTCTTTATTCGGTATATTAGTTGCATTATATTAGAATTATGTATTCTAATATATTATCTAATTAATAAAAATGACTATTTTGATTATTTTTAACTATATACTATACTGCTAATATTGAATTAGCTTTTTATAGTGTAAATTATAATATTTGTCGAAATATTAATTATGGATTCGAACTTTACATGCTAATGGTGCTTCATTTTTGTTATTTTCATTTACTTACATATTGAAAATATACTTGAATAGTAGTTATTATTATTTTATTTAGCTACTGAATTTTAGGATATGTTTTACCTTGAGGTCAAATATAATTTTGAGGAGCAATAGTTATTACCTACTAATCTTTTTGGAGATTTACTGTTTATAATGCTACATTTATTATTTTAATATTTACCTACTGGGTAGGTAATTATTAAAATAATAAATATAGCATTAGTAACTAAATAGATAATTTTTTTAAATTTTTAAAATTAAAATTTTCGTATTTTTAAAAATTACTAAAAAAAAGGCTTTGAAATAATAAATTTTCTCACAAAAGAAGGAAACTTGAAAAAAAAGGAAAAAAAAAAGCGGGACCAAAGCCAAAACGCGAACTACGGAACTCCGATATCACGCCCGACCGACATACCACCTGAGCTATAACGACCGTTAATGATTAGTCGAAATTTACCTTCTTATATTGTAGCAGTTTTTTATTGCCTGAAAACATGGACAAAAGGACATTTTCTAAAAATAAATCCAAGCGTTCGTCGCTAAAATCGTTGGAGCCGTATAATTTTCTCATCTGGTTCGGTTATATAAATATTTAAATATATAAAAATTATAAATTAAAATGAAAAGATAAATATACATTAATATCAATAAAATAAAATAAATACAAAATAATATTATATTTTTGGGGTATCTGTATAGTTTTCTCATCTGGTTGGTTTCTATAAATATATAATTATAAATTAAAATGAAAAGATAAATATACATAAATATCAATAAAATAAAATAAATACAAAAAATACACAAATAAATAAAGATCCAACCAGATGGAAGCCCTCGGCAGGGGAGACCAAACGGCCGAGGGTTAGGAGGAAAGGGAAAGAAACCGACGGACGATGCGGGCGGTATCGAGGACCACTGCCTTCTGCATTTGAGCCCGGAGCGGTCCGTCACGGAGTCCCAGTCGCCTCAGATGACCCGAGAGGCTGACTGGGATTAGCCCGTTTGCAGAGACGACTACAGGAATAATTTCGGTCGGCAGACCACCCCACATGTCGGTCACCTCGTGAGCCAGGTCCAGATATTTTGTTTGCTTATCTGTTTCGGCTTTCACGAGGTTCTCGTCATACGGAATGGTAATGTCGACCAAAAATATCCTTGACTGTGCCCGGTCCATCAGCACAATATCAGGCTTATTTGCAAGAATAGTCCTGTCTGTGATGATGGCCCGGTCCCAGTAGAGCCTGGCGCGGTCATTTTCGAGCACGGCTTCCGGCAAGTACTTGTAATACGGCAATTTCCGGTCCACGAGACCGTATTTCAGAGCGAGCGCCTGGTGAAGAATTCTGGCTACTAGGTTGTGCCTGTGCAAGTACTCAGAGTTAGAAAGCGCCGAACAACCGGAGATGACGTGTCTAAGTGACTCCCCGGGATGGCGACAAGCTCGACAGACGTCGACGGTGCCATCCTTTAGGATGTATCTCCGATAGTTGTTGGTCTTAATAACCTGATCCTGTATTGCACAGACAAAACCCTCGGTTTCCCCGAAGAGGTCACCGAAACGTAGCCAGTTGAGGGAGGCGACTGTATCTACGAAGGGCTCATGTAGAACCCTGTAGTACCTCCCGTGGAGCTCCTTCTCCTTCCATACGGTCTCCCGGTCGGAAATGCTAAGCACTGCTGGGTCCTGCCATTGCTCGTTGGCCAAGGATAGAGGGGTAAGCCCTTTATCACTAGAAATGACGTCATTATAGAATGGATCATCCGATCTCGCCAGGAAGTAATGACGGAGGCTGCACACTTCACGATTATGCATAGTGAGCGCGCTTAGAAAGCCACGCCCACCATGCTTTCGCGGCAAGTACAGCCTCATTACCGATGATCTCGGATGATGCATCCTATGGGACGTCATGGTAGTGCGGACTTTTCTATCCAGGGCGTTAAGTTCAGTCTGAGTCCACCTGAGTATGCCAAAGGTATACATAAGGACAGGCATGATCCAACCGTTATATGCGTGTGTCTTATTCACACCGGACAAAAGGCTATTAAGCACTTTGGTCAAGCGTGCATAAAACACGTCGCAAACTGACTGTTTCACACCAGCCTCATCGATACCGATGTTCTGTGACATACCCAGGTATCGGTATGTTTCAGCCTCGGAAAGGGTCCTTAAGTTGACGGGCATAGATAAATTTATGCCCTCAGAGTTAGCAACCCTTCCCCTCTCAACATGGAGGACCGCACACTTATCCGTCCCCAGCTCCATTCCAATGGAACTGCTAAACTCACAAGTGATTTTTAGCAATTCCACAAGATGGGAGCGACTGGAGGCGAATAACTTAAGGTCATCCATATAGAAAAGGTGGGTCACCTTTGTCCCTCCTTTCCGTAGCTGAAATCCTCTCCCGGATTCCTCCAGTAAGGTACTGAGAGGGTTCAGGGAGAGGCAGAACCAGATTGGACTCAGACAATCGCCCTGGAAGATACCCCTTCTTATCCTTATGTGGTTCTCCGCAGCCATCATCCGCTCACCCAGATGACAAAGGATCGTACTCCACTGCCCCATACACTGCTCGAGGAAGTCTCTCACTGTACAGTCTATCTTGTACAGCTCGAGGACTCTCTTTAGCCATGTATGGGGCACCGAGTCGAATGCCTTTCTGTAGTCTATCCAGGCGGCGGAGAAGTTCCGACGGTTGCGTTTCACCACTTTGCCAATGACCGCGTCAATGAGGAGTGGTTCCTTAGTTCCACGACCACCGCCCCGACATCCATTTTGAGCGCGTGACATCACCTGATTTAGCTCCAGGTGACGAGTGATTCTCGCGCTCAAAATGGATGTCAGTGTCTTATATATGGTGGGTAGACACGTAATGGGGCGGTATTTGCTCGGGTCTGTGGTAACCTGGTCTTTAGGAACCAAATGAGTGATCCCAGTAGTGAAGAGGCTTGGGAGCGACTTCTGGTTGAGAGCCTCTTGAAACTGACGGGCGAGCACAGCGTGACACACCATGAACCCCTTCAGCCAGTAGTGATGCAGTCCGTCGAGTCCCGGACTTTTCCAGTTCGTGGCTTTACGGACCGCCTCAGCTACGTCATCCGGCGTTATGATGACGGGGTCCATGGGCGTAATACTCGCACACTGACTCGCCACAACTTCCGTCCAAGGGCCCTCGCTGTGGTTTACGGGCTCTGACCACAGGCCACGCCAAAATGCGACAGTGTTAGCCTGATCCGGTCCTGGGCCCGCTCCACATACCTCTGGTCGCTCCAATGATTTGTAGAGCCTCTTCTGATCACTCTGGAAGAGACGATTCTGGTTGAACCGCCTTGACCTCTCGGTAAATCGGCGAATCCGCTTCCCCCAAGCGGCAATCTTTTGCTTCAGGTCGTCTATGCGCTCCGTTAGTTTCTGCGTGATATCCGGCTGGGACAAACTGATATTTGTCCCAGCAAACGCCATTCTAACGGTGCGCACAACCCTCGGTCTATTATTACCCGACCTGAAGCTTATCAGTCTGCCGATAAGGGCCCTTGCCTTTGCGATACGGTCCTCAATTCTTTTTCTCCAGGCTGGGATGGCGTTACTTTGTTTAGTAGCGCGTCCAGCCATGGGAAGTTTGGCGCCAATAATACGGCAAGCTGCCACTGCGGCGCCAAAAAGAACTGAGTCCGTCTCGCAAAGGTCCCGGCTGGCTTCCAAATAGGTTACCAGCATTGGGTTAAGAGCCCTCACGACAGCAAAAAAATAATATTATATTATTATTGTTATTATTATTATTATAAGTTGTGGTTCAGTGAAGCTGCAACCTAATGGACCATGATATGAAAAGTGGTTGTTGACGTCAATTATTATTATTCTTATTATTTTTTCATTACTACCTTTTTCAACCTCACAAGATATTTGTAACTGCAAAAAAAACTACTTATAAGTAAGTAAATCAGTAATATAGTGTTATGTATGATTCAGACTAAATAAAGGTTCCTAAAAATAGACGTAGATAAAGAAATTGCATAAAAAATTACTCAAATAAAAATGCAATAAACTTGTTAATTTTATAGGTACTTAGTAAAATATTAAAATAATAAGTTTTTTTAGGTTATTTATGTAAAATATAAAGGTTATGTTATGTTCTAACTACGTTCACGCTTGCACATATAAAACCGCGGAATTTCACTAGTTTTATTATCAAAATAATAATTGTCAACCCTACCCTAAGTTTGCCTTGATTTTACCAACTCAAACTCGTTTTAGATCAAAACATAGAGAGAAAGATAGGAGACTATTTTTTATTTAATATGGTTGGATCTTTATTTATTTGTATATTTTTTGTATTTATTTTATTTTATTGATATTTATGTATTAATTATTTATTATTTATTTATTATTTATCTTTTCATTTTAATTTATATTTATAAAAACCAACCAGATGAGAAAACTATACAGATACCCCAACAATAATAATATAATAATAATAATATTCCACAAATATCACACAACGCCATCTAGTCCCAAGCTAAGCAGAGCTTGTGTTATGGGTACTAGACAACTGATAAACATACTTATATATTTCTAAATACATAAATATTATAGATAAATCGTCACACAAACATTTGTCCTGGGTGGGTATCGAACCCACGACCTACGGCATAGCAGTCAAGGTCACTAACCACTAGACCAACAGGCCTGACGATAAATAAAATAAAGTCTCTAGCTCGAGAGGAGAGGAGCCGTGGTAGCTCAGATGGTTAGCGCTTGCTAAAATTTTCACAGTGTGCGAGCAAACCGGGTTCGTACCCCGCCGGCACCAATAATATTGTAATTGCAATTTTAAGCGTTGATTTACCACGTGCTCAGTGGTGAAGGAAAACATTGTGAGGAAACCTGCGTGTCTGAGAAATAAGAAAAATAATATTTCGAAGACATACAAAGTTCGCCAACACGCAGTGGGGCAGCGCGGTGGATAATTCCTTTCCTAGGACCCTTTCAGAAAATAGAATAGAAATAAAAAAATAATTGTTGGCGACGCGCCTATAAAAATGTTTCAGTTTATTAAATCAACCGATGACGTTGCTATGAAAAAAGGGGTAGTCACGAGCAACGACGCTCTGATAAGAGAATGCTTAGTTAAATCTTTAAGAAATGTCGAATTAATGATATGAAGGTCTTGGGTTCGACTCCCAGGCCGGACTAGTTTGTTTGTTTTCCTAAGTAATATCGCTTAATAAATTCGTAAGGAATTTAAGATATAAATTATGTTACCGGATTTGTTCCCCGGTTGAAATCATCTTTCAAATGATGTAAATTCATAAGAATATTAAAGTGAAGTTAAAGATCGGATTTGTTCCCCGGTCGAGATAATCACTCTGTGCATAGGCAGAATTAATGGATATTAATTGCATAAATGTTGTTTTGTATAAGTTTGATACGTTTTGTACGAAAACAAATGCCTATTTGTTATGATTGATTAATGAGAACATTCATTTATATTGTTATCTGATTAAAGATAGTTTCATACAGTTCGAAAATTGTATAAAAGCATTTAATTTGCCTAATGTGGTCAAAATTGGTGTATTTCATAATTTAATTTTTTCTGATAGCCGAGAGCCGTGCAAAGTTAGTTGTTCACATAGCGTGAGTTCATAGACGCACGCTGGCCACGCCCTTAGGAGGCCGAATATGTAAAAATTTAAAATGTTTGTAATTCAGTGATTTATGTAAAAATTACTTGTAAAATATTTCAGGTTAATTGTACGTGCTAAAAAAGGTAAATTCCGTGTTATTTTCATGTGAAAATTCCTGTGTATAAGTGAAATAATGATAGTTTTGTATAAGAAATTTAAAAGTGTTTTAAATAGTGAAATAAATAGAAAAAATGTAAATTAAACTATTGTATTGGTTAGCTTATGTATAAATTCAAGTGAGAAACATTGTTTTAACTTTCTGTGTTAAATATTTAAGAAATTTCGATTTCGAACTTGTGAGTAAAATAGGCAGTTTTCGTTTAATAAATAAAAGGTTTTTATGATATGAAGATATGATGTATATCATGGTGTAGATATTGTTTTGTACTACCTATATTGATAAATTGTATTTGTATATGATTTGAATAAATAAAGATATTGAGTAAAACGTGAGAGAGTAATAGAACAAATTCATGTAATTGAGTTGCGCAAGCGCGCGAATGGCGCGGCTCACTTTCGCGTATAGCTCTGGGGTAGCTTAGTGAAAGGGTTTTATTGCAATTCGTTCGGGAATGGTTCGGGAAATATTCAAGGAAATCGTTCGGGAATCGTTCGGGAATCGTTCGGGAATGGTTCGGGAATCCTTCGGGGAAAAAGTTCGGGAAATATTCAAGGAAATCGTTCGGGAATCCTTCGGGAATCGTTCGGGAATCCTTCGGGAAATATTCAAGGAAATAGTTCGGGAATCCTTCGGGGAAGTTCGGAAATAGTTCGGAAATAAATAAGAAAATCCGGGAAAAGTTCAAGAAAAGTGAAAAACCAGCAGTATAGGGAAAAGTGATTACTCTCTCACGGAACGGTTTGAAGATAATTGCTGTTTCATTCCCAAGATCCTTTAAGTTATACAGTCCACATCGAAGAATTAAGGCGTCGGGACCGGGACGACTTCGGAAGACCCGTAATCCCCGTCTGAACCTACTTGCTGAAAAGGAAGAGGTTATCGCCCTAGTGTGTTACTCCGTTGCGGAGATCACATACGTTGTTCCCGAACCCAACGTAGGCGTGATAGGAGGCCGGATCGAGAGAAGCCTCGATTCCTGTTTCTTAGTACCCGATCCGCTAGGTCCTTTTCAATTGGTCCTTTTCAGGATCAAGAGGGACACCGACCTGGTCCTTTTCAATTGGTCCTTCGCGGCCGATTGAGAGGACGTCCGACCTGAGTTCCTTTTCAATTGGACCTTCGGAGCCGGATTGAAGACCACCCGAACCCCGCCAGCTGGATCAAGGAACCAGCTGTGGACTGCTGGTTGTGGAAGAAGAAGACCTTCGGAAGCCGAATGAAGATCAGCAACCGAAGGAAGCCAGAGGTTTGAGCTGAAGCAATAGGACCAAAGGCCTGAAGACCAGGACGGCAGCACTGAAGGGCTGGACCTGGAACTACCGGAAGAAAGAAAACCGGGATTGCAGCTTGGGGCGTGTGCTCGCATGGGGCACATATCGCAGCCGGGCGCAGGTGTCTTGTGAAGGCACTCATCGTGGCCAAGCAGGGCTTGGCATTTTTCCTGTCGGGCAAGCGTGCTCGGCATTTCATGTCAGACGATCGTGTCTGGCATTTCCTGTCAGACGATCGTGTCTGGCATTTCCTGTCGGACGACCGTGTCCGGCATTTCCCGTCGGGTCATCAGGGTGCAAAAAGCATCCACCGCTGCTGCTGCCGGGCGAGGGTGCGCGTGGGCACCTGACTGCATCGCGGCCGGAGGAGGGCGCTTGGACGAGGCGTCACCGGCAACTGGGCGGCGAGCACAGCATACATCCCGACCACCTAACGGTGCCAAACGGTTGGGCTCTGGCATAACACCTTCGGGTGGAGCAGTTCTCTCGAGCGAGACTGCGCTTGCACTACCGCTCGACTGTTTCGTCATATTCCTTGGCGGGACAGTTCCTAAACCTTTCCTCCATTCCATTCCTGCACGACTCCATCCCCTGGACGGCTCACCTCGGTAGGCCCCGTTCAGGATTGATAGGGCTGATAGGGCTGTTAGGGTGGTAGTAGGGTTGTAGGGTTGGGAGATAAAGGGGGGGAGGGGTAGTGGTGTTAGGTTGGGGTGTAGAAGGGTTGTAGGTAAGGGGTTGTAGGGACCGTAGGGACTGTAGGGACAGTTAGGGACCGTAGGCCAACAATCACCTTCCTGCAAGATGAAGAAGGCACAAGACCAGACAGGGAGAAGCGAAGGGAGCAGGACAAGGACAGGGCTCTCAAGAAAAGCTAAAGAAGCGGAATCATCTGGAGCGACCACAGCTACTGCGTCAAATGGAGCAACTCCTCCAAGTGGAGCCACCACAGACACGTCCACATGCACGTGGGACTCAGGGACGTCCATGGCAACGACGAGCAACAGGACGGACACCAGTGGTACGCAGGCCAGCACCGCACAACAATCCGTTATATCCAGGAGTGAAACGGTGGTCGAAAAAGTAGGTCAAAGGACCGAAGAAGCGGCATCGTCAAGGACAGTAATCGGGCACACTAGTGATAAAGGGTCACAGAGAGGTAGTAGGTCATCGCGATCGGCGAGGCTGAAAGCCGAATTAGAGGCGCGGATTAAATTCGAACGCTCAGAGCTCGAACGAGCACAGGCAGCCGCTGCCTTAGCCAAGTCTCAATTGGAGTTGGCACGACTCAACCGAGAAGAGGAAATCGACTCGAGTGAGGATGATGAAGAGCGGAATACTCAGGTGGAACCTTTCGTAAGGAGTTGGGTTCAGCAAACAATAATGAGCGCGCCGGTTAGTGTGGCACAACCCGATATTACTGATAAGGAAGCGTGTAAAGGATCACGCCGCAAAGGGGCGGAGGTCGAGCGCAACCTAGGAAATGCACAGAAAACACACGCGAGTGAGGTGTCAGAATTGACCGAAGCGATTGTGAGTGCAATAAAAATAGCTGGTAAAGATAAATCTTCCCAGCTTCATTTCCTCCAGGAATTACCGGTGTTCGATGGAGACCCGGGTGAATGGATAATTTTCAAAACG